AGAGCTCAAGGATTGCTCAACCTGGAAGCAAAGGCTTAGGAAAACCTCCCTGCAGATCTTCTGCAACCCCAGTTACGTGAGATCCAGCAGTACAGAACTTGCCTGAAGACCTGCCTGGAAACCAAAAACCTAGCATGTGAAATACTGCTGGATCACGGACTTGAAAACCAAAACAAGACCATGGCTGGAGGCAAGACAAACAGTCCAAAAGAAACAGCAAAAATGTGAAGAGGCTTTACCCAGTTTGATGTAAAGTATCCAAGGTTTCAAGACTAGCAGGACTGTGAACACTGAGCCCTATGGAAAAGACATTCAAAGTTTCCGCCTGTATAAAATCAGAACGTAAGACCTACAAATGCTCAACAGAATGCATGTGAGCCGTTCCACTGCTGTCCTCTTCAGTCCCATCCCCCACCAGAGCCATTTCTAACACACCTCACACCAGTCACAGGCAGGAGATCCAACACTAACTCACAACACGTGACAAAGCAAGGCTCCACCCATGGCACCCAGCTCCCACCACATTCCCCAGCCACAGCACTGGGGTCATGGCAGCAGGATGCTTGCGCCATGGTCCACCAATGACCTCCCATGGGTGGCACTCACTCAACAACCACCGGCAAGGGCTATGTGGATGCTAATTATCACATGGGAACAAGGTTGCAGTCACTGAGTTGGCAGCACCACGCATGTGATCACCCAAGGCACAGTGTTGCACCTCTTTGCTTTGGTGACTCCTCAGTGCCGTGCTCAGTGGGAAGGGTTGTTAAAGTTACTACGAAAGAGTAATCTATTACAAATTACTCATTAATCAACCAAAAAAATCAGTGACATATTACCTATCATTCCTGTGTCACGCTAGCTCGGCAGCAATATCTGGTTCATGCTGCTGATTTGTCTTACACTTACTACAGCCACTTTCTCAACACGGCTTACACACGCTTCTCTCCTCCTCCTTGCCCAAACCAGTACATGGGCCATGACTTCCCAGAGCAGCCATGCCTGGCTGCAGAAGCCAGAGGCAAAATGCTGCCTCCCAAGAAAGAAAACTATTTCAGTACCTTATGACTAAATACCCAGTTGTGAATCGGGGACCTTCCTGTGTCCATTGCTGGTAGGTAATGGGATGTGCCAAGCCTGGAGGCTGTGCCCAGTACAAGACTTTTTTTGTTTTTGTTTTTTTCCCTGAAAGCAAATTCATTGGGCTTTCATATCTCCCTTAACAGAACACTAGGCAGAGCCAGCCCAGCTCAGGTATAACATCTGCCCTGTCCTGCTCTCCTCGGAGCCTGCATTGAGCATCTCACCACTGCAACACTCCTTGCTGGAAGGCCTGTGGCTTGGCTGCAGCCCTCTGGCTCTCCTCCAAAAAGAGGAAAAGTTCTAATCATCCTCCTACTAGTTTGGCACCCTCAGAGTGTTATTGCTGCTTCTGCATGAGGAGTTCTGCCTGCAGTGGATATTCCTGTTTGAAGTGCTCTCATTAAGGAGCCAGGTCTTTGTGCAAGTTCCTTACTCCCAGCCTTGCAGCCCACATCCAACATCAGCCTCAGGATGGGCAGGGCTGGCCAGAAATTAAAGCCTTGGTAATAGCCAACGCTCACTGTATGCGTAGTCCTTGATTTATTCATCTCAGCCACAGGTGGGTCTTCGATATAAAATAATTATGAAAAATGAGGCATGAGCAGGGAGGCATTTAGCTAACAAAGTTCTAGAGGAAACAGCAGAAATCAGGAGAGCAGAAATGCAAACACAGTGGGAGCAAAGTAGGAGCTGCCCAAAAGAGTTCATTAAGGAATTCTGCATAGGGTCACAGTAAAAGCTACAAGGAATTTGCAAAGTTTGGAGCAATGAAACAGCTGAGCTTGCAGCAAAAATGTCCAACTCTTGCATTTATACTGCTGGCCACGGGCAGCTGTAGTAGATGGGGCCACCAGGTAGATGGAGGCCATGTCTGCCTCAGAACAAGGGGTGGCCAACAGGCAGGGTTACTCAGTTTAAAAAAAAAAAAGACAACAGCAACATGAGAAATATGAGACAAAAAAAAGGGGAGAAGAAGACAGCAGAACTGAAGATGTGCCTTCCGGGGAGGGTCTTGTCAGGCAGCTCCCAGCAGGAGGTCACAGGGCTGGCTGGTCGCAGCCTCAGCATCCCACAGCACCCCAGGATGTGGCTCCGTGCCTTTTATCATCCCAGTCAGATGGTTCCTCTGCAGAGCTTCAGGAAAGCTCTGCACTCCAGCTCTGCAATGAGCAACTTCCTTCTCTTCTTTTTTTAGGATCGGAATATCTTTTCTCTTCCTCCCCCACCTCAAAAGGGCAGATATTAATAATATGGATCGGAAGAGCTTGCTATGGCGAAGCGATGGGTGGTAGCGGTGCTGCACCTAGTGACGTCACACCGGCCGCCTGGCCAAGTCTTCATCCTGACAGAGCTGCTCAGGAAAGCACAGCTAATTATTCTGCCAGATCCTCGGCCAGATGACAAATTGATTCACGGTAGTAACTAAAAGAAGGGAAGGAGGAGAAATTGCACCATTTCCTATGACTGAAACGACGTTACTCGTTACCCCAAGGAAAACTTTGTCCAAAGTGTTCATTGCAGCTGCTGAGCTATACGCCAGACGGCTGAAGTGCATTGCCAGGGGACCCTGCTGGTGTACTACATGAGTTTATGCATTTGGTATCCATCAGCTTTCAGAGAAAAGCCTTGTTTCAGAACTTCCGCAGAGTCCTGTATGTCAGGGCACCTACACAATTATCAGAAGCTGCTAATTAAAATTTAACAAAATCAAATACCTGTTTTTCTAAGTTGACCTGAGGATGTTGAAAATGAAAAGCGACACAAAAGAGCCCTTTGGAAATGAAACCTTTTACTCACTCTACCAGTCAGCTCACAAGGGACACTTTTCCTGAATACCACAAGCAGTCCATAATTACATCATCACGGTAAGGGCACACAATATGTGGCTTATTAATCATTTCCAGGAAGAACACCATCAGAAGGTCGTTGTTAATAGCCCCACTGCCTGGCAAGGCGATCTCCCATGCTCACTGCAGGGTGGGTACTTTGGACTTCCCTCACATGAATTTCCTCTTTGAGCAAAAGAATGCTCCTTTCCAAAGGCAGGGATGGCAGTAAGGAGAAAAGACAGAGGTGAGGAGGATGGGGTGGAAAGCAAGACTATCATCACAGCTATCTAGAACTCTTACACCTGTATTTGGAAGGCAAAGACCTCCTCCTTCCACTACAGCAAACAACTGAAAACAGAAAGGAAACAAAGACAAGCAAGAAGTAAAGTATTCTGGAAAAGAGGAGAACATAGGTACACCATGAAGGTAATATCATGGATAGAGCATTACTCTTGTGAAGAGCAATATTTTTCTTCTTATGAAGAGCTATGCTCTTCATATACAATACGTATAAGGTGGTGTCCCTGCCTATAGCAGGGGGGCTGGAACTACATGATCTTAAAGGCCCCTTCCAACCCAAACCATTCTATGATTCTATGATATAAGGAGGGAGTGGGGGGAGAAATACAGTGAGCTGTTATAACTACACAGAGTCAAGCAATTGCCCTCCCAGCTACCTTTAGTTCAATGAGTCCTGTGATCTGCTGCTCCGTTCCTCCAAGGGCTACTGATGAATTGTGCCAGATACCGTGTTTCTTTCCAACTGTTCTGAGTCTCCTGCATCTGATCTCAAAGAAGGGAGCAGAAACAGCTGGAAGAGAGAAACCAGAATGGCATAGTCCAGCAGCAACCCTTGGAAGAACAGACAACACAGCCCTGTGAGAGGCACCATTGTCCCCCAGTACACGTTTGCATGTGGACACGTATCCACACATCTTCTAGATGAAACACATGCCATTAACGCATCAGCTCTAAACTGTCACAAAGCACAAGAGCAGCTCAACAGCATGGCCACAATCCACAGGTACAGGTGCCAAACCAGTCACACCTGCTACATGCAAGCCAAATCCAGCACCACATTTCTCTTCCTGCGCTTATTTTGCTCCCTGAGGAACTTCACCTGCTTTGCAGCACGTGCGCGACTCTCAGCCCACGCAAGGGAAGCCAGTCAAGGTCTACTCTATTTAAGCTTTGCAGCTCCTGCAGATCTAGCTTCAGGCCAAAGGAAGAGGGAGAGACAGCAGGTGAAACGGGGCATTGAAGGAGTAAGCTTCTTCAGAGGGAACTTAGGTCCTTACTGCCAAAGGAGAGGATTAGTTGTGAAAATCAGGAAGTCAAGGAGGCAGAGAGCAGCAGGAGGCCACTGCAATAATAGGGACAGTAGGAGCAAAGCTATTGCTCACCAAGGCACGTGAAGAGGAGATAAAAAGGCTTGTGCTCTTTCATATGTGCAAAGACTAGAAAGAGGGAGTGAAGAGGTCAGGGAGATGGTGCTGGTGGAGGAAGGGCCAAAAAAAAAAAAAAAAAAGCCTTTGAAAATGAACCATGTAAAAGTGATTAATAAGGGCAGAACTGCAAAGGTTGGTGGTGGTACCTTTTCATTTTCACCATAAAGAAATAAGACATTGCAACTTGCAGCCAGGTCTGGGGACTCAGCAAGACCAAGACAGAACAATGTCATCAAAAGGACACAAACAGAATTTCAGACAGAGAGCAAATCAGATTGGTATGATTAGGAATTACATGGAGGTGGGAACAGAAAGCAGGTTAAAAGGCTCATGGGATAACTGTGGCAGGACAGCCCAAAGGATCTCCTTCAAACCTTACAGTAGGGATGAAACAGCAACCATAACATTTTTTTTCCTGACCACAACTTCCTTATAACCAATTACTAGAAAGCACAGGCACACACGTCTCGTCAGGGCAGCAGTACCACTACAAGCCTCTTCCAAGCACACATGGTACCATCTCCAGAAGAGTCCTCAACCTCACATCCCTTCTACCCCACACAAACCTGGTGATATTTTACTGCAAATCAGCTCTCTTTCGTAAGGGCCAAGTCATTAAGAACAGTAATAAAATGAGTACCTGGAGTATCACAAGTCTGCCTGTCCCCTGAAGAGTTGGTTGGAGGCGTCCGATGTCGGTAGACGAGATGTGGCTTATTGTGCTCTTCTTCATACTCTTGCTCAAGTGACAGCAGTGGTTCTACGAAATAGTCCCCATCATCAGACTTGAACGTGCCTAGCTGAGAGGGACAGAGAACGATGGGGTCAATGACAAGCCATGGAGCAGGACTATCCAATCTAACATTAAACAAAGGAGGTGGATGAGCTGGGTCTGCAACAACTCCCATGAATGCACAGGCTGGAAACGCAGCTCTCCATGACACTGCTCAGGCCCTGCCTCCTTCAGCAGTTCCTCTGAAGCTTACAAAAAGCAAGGTCTTAATTTGTAGGAGGGAATACAAGAGGGGGACGCCGGCCAGACCTTGTCCCTGTGCCAGTGACTGAACCACTCCTGCCCAAGGGGACATGATGCTCCAGCACAACCCTAACATATTGTACCATTTTTTCCTGCAGCAGCTCTCTGTGAAACAGGCTTTAAACTCAGATGAGGACCCAGGAGAGGCATCCAGAGAGTGAAATCCCTGTCTATAGAAAGGCCCTGCTTTAGGGCACAGTGTGGAAGCACTGTCAGTTAGCTGTACGTGAATATGAATACAGGGAGATAAAAAAAAAAAAAAAACACAAAAAACCACAAAACATCCAGGACATAAAGCATCCTGATAGCCATCCTGGGCTAGAAAACAGGATAACTACATGGGATATAGTGCTGGAGGAAGGTCTGCCCAGGCGCACATGTACACCAGCGCAGCTCAGGCCCCAGCCCGACGTGCTGGGACAGAGGCTGGAGCTGAAACAGCATGACATGGTCAGCCTGGGATGCTATGGAAGGAGCAATGACCAGTAGAGACCTCCAGGGAGAGTTACCCAAGGCAGTCATTGCTTCCTGTGCCTCGCAGGCACTCCGGGGTGTAAGGAGGGTGCAACGACCTGGGACAAGCATTGCTGGGCAGTTTCTGCTCTTCCCTCTGCCAACATCCCCTGGTGCAGCAGAGCACCAGGATGGGCTGCAAGGCAGCCTGCGTTCATCTCCTCTGAGCTCACATCTCTGTGCCATACTGCAGGAAGGCTCCGGGGGCAGCACTGCTGGGGACCCCTCAGCCCTCGCTCCAGATTTAGGGGTGCAGGTCGGTGTCAGGCTGGGGACTCTACAACAGGGCTCTCCCCACCCGGTGATCTCCGTGGCGGGGTGCCGCTGGGTGGCACTTTTGCCCCAAATCCCGCGGAGCAGAAGGGTTTTTCCCCAATTCGACGGGATAATAAAAGTGGGCTGCGAGAAAGACCAAACCGGGGCGAGCCGGCCCCATCCCGTAGCCCCAGTCGAGGGCGGGGGAAAGGGGCCGGCCCCTATTCCCTCTGCCCACCCTCCCTCGCCTGCTCCTCCTTCTCCTCCTCCTCGCTTCCGCCCCTGTTCGCCGCCGCTGGGCGCCCGGCGGGGCCGGGACCCGGGGCTCACCATCCCGGAGCAGAGGCTGATGACGGCGGTGTGCCGCGGCCGGGCGTTGACGTGCCCCCGGTAGAAGCAGTGCTTCACGTCGGTGTCCGCAGCCTCGGCGTAAAGGTTCCGCTGCTCGGCGGCGGGCTCGCCCAGGATGCTGACGGTGAAGAGCGGGGCGATGAAGGCCGAGCTGGCCGTCAGGTTGAAGAGGAACTGCTGCCCGAAGGCGGAAAGCCTGTAGTGAGCCTTAGGGGAGGAGGATGAGGAGGAGGAGGCGGCGGCTGTCCAGGCGTCGGGGGCAGCGTTGGTGCTCCGCCGCCTCCGCCTGAAGTGGACATCGGTGGGGAAGGGCTCTCCAAACTCATTCACCCGGGTAGGAGTCACGATCTCGTACTCGCTGAGCTTCTCCAGCAGCTTCGCTGCAAAGGAAGAGAGGCACATGCCCCTGAGCAGGGAGGCCGGGCGCCTCGCCCCCCAGAGGCGGCAGCCCAGCACCCCCGGGCCGCCTCCCATTCCCCGAGCACCCCCGTACCTTGCCTGGGGTGCAGTTTCTGCCTCCTCGCTCCCGTCCTCAAGCCGTCAATGAAGAGCGTGGTGAGTGCCAGCGCCAGCGGCGCAAGCTGCATGGTGCTGCGCGCTGTCCTCAGAGGAGAGCAGCCTTCCCCCGCTTTGCTTAGGCTCTTCTTTTCCTTTTTTTTTTTTTCTTTTTCCTTTCTTTTTTTTTTTTTTTTCCCCTTTTCCTTTTCTCGCCCCTTTCTCCCCCCTCCCCGCCCCCCGGAGCAGTGCCGGGGGAAGCGCCGGAGCCGGGCGGCGTTAGGGGCGGGCGGGCCGGCGGGGCGCGGGGCGCCGGGGGCCGCGCATGGTGCGCGGGGGGCGGAGGGGCCGGGACGGACCGACGGGCCGGGACGGGGGAACCGGCCGGCCGGCCGCCTGCCTGCACTCCCTCGCTTTCCGCCTCTCCCCCCGTCGGGCTGGTGGACGGGGTGCTCCCGGGAGCCAATTTAAGGGGGCGGGCTCCATAGATCAAGCAGGAGAAAAAGATCCCGCCCTGCAGGAGCAGGGACAGCCCTTCCTCTCCTCCCACCCACCCCCCTCATCCAACATGTCACTTTCTTTCATTCGGAGGAACGCCGGATTGGCAAGTTTTCGCTAGGCGAAGTCCTCGCTGCGGCAGTACCGCGCCTGGACGGGTCCGAAACGCCATTGGAACCTGGGCAGAGTGAAGTCCTGGGGAGAAGAGCCACTTCCTCACTCACTGGCAGCAGAGTGGAGTTTTCTTGCATAGAAAAAAGAAAGAAAAATGCCGGTTATGGAATCTTGAAGAAGTGAACGCATACTCAAAGAATCCCACGTGCAACACTTTTTATAGCATCGCTTTCCTTCTGCATTTCTCAGATACGAAGCACTATAAGCAACTTCAGAGTTATTTTTCTGTTGTGCTGTTTTCAGCACCCTGACGGAAAAGAAAGATTTTTTCCTTATCTAAAAGGTGTCTTTTTTTTTTCTTTTCTTTTTAGTCTTGTTTTACAGTGTTAGCCATCCTTTAAAGCCAGGTGCAACTCAACGTTGTCTCCTGCTGTCCATCACACTTGTGCACTGGTTGTTCTTTCCCCAAGCACGACAAAAGATGCTATGAAATTTCAAGGCAAAAGAAAATAGATGTGGAAGTGCAAGTTCCCACTACTTGCACTTCCCTTGGAACAGAGGACAGAAGCACCACTACCTTCTGCAGAAAGGGAAAGCCTTAAAGTAATCAGTTCAGAATTCATTTCTAGACAAAACAGCGCCTCCTAAGTATACTAAACTATCTGCTGAAGCCCTACAAACCCGTTAGCAGGTTTTACATGATCAGTACAGAAGAACACGTAAGCAGATCATCACCTGCACCAGGAGGAGAAGGTCACATCTCAGCTGAGTGCTGTGCAGGAATCCTCACACTGGTAGAGTTCTACATCAGCACATCTCTAATGCAACCCATAACGGCACAAAGCTCCCACTGTGCCTCTGTTATGCCTCTATGTATGAACTGTGTTTAATTTAAGGTAATTCACTCATGCTGGCTTCTCAGGCTCAGCAAAGCCAGAGTGCTTCCAGCCTTGGGTTGCCAGCATACAGCCAGCTCTAACAACAGCATTGGGTCTCCTGCATCCAGCTTTAGAACTGGTGCAAGCAGTTCTAAAGAGGAACAGCTCTTCAAAATAGCTAAACAAGGCTGCATCTCCATGCACTCACCTGTTGTGAGCCTGTGCCACATGTGATGCTAGTGCTGCAAAGAACTAAATTGATCTTTAGGGTCCCTACCAACCCAAGCCGTTCTATGATCGTCCTGTCCTAGTGGCTAATTGCTTGTTTGTGCACACACACATTGAGAAAGAAGTCCTCAGAATAGGAAAGACACCAAAGTATTCTGAACTAACTGCAACCTGCAAAGCCTGCTGGGGCTGCTGTGCAGCCTTCTCTGGCTGGTCATGAAGGAGCAGGACATCCCCACCCTTCCCATGCTCTGTTGTGTCCTGATAGAGTCTGAAAAGCCATCGTGGTGCTGGGGCTTCTGAATGAAGAAAAATAAATGGGTATCTTGAAACATCACTGCATCATGGTGAGACTGCCTTGTTTTCTCAGCCTTCTCTGCCTTATCATCAATGCAATATCAGCTCCTGTGCTGTCGTGCCAGTCTGTTGGGCTGCTGGGATTACTGAACCCGTCAGTCTTCTAGATCCTTCTCACATATGCCCCAATGCTTTCAGTTTTTGGAAAAGAGGGATATGCTATGGCTGAGCATTGGCCATAGCCTGGTTGAGATCCAGAAGCACAGGCTACATCCTGCACTTCGGTGAGGCATGCATGGGAGTAGCAGGCCTTGAGCAATGCTGGGGGGAGAGAGCGGAGTTGCCTGAGGAAATGAAGAGAAAAGCTGAGTCAGAGCAGAGGGAGAAGGGTTATGTGGAGCTGATTCTGTGTTATGGGTGAGGGATGCAGCCCTGTTCATCTCCTTACACAGGTATTGGGAAACAGCTCTGCTGCTTTATCTGTGTGCCCCCGGGGCGGGTGCCATGCCGGGATGGGATTTCACAAGTACCCTGCATCCCACTGGGCTGAGCCTCACCACCCCCTCACACCAGGGCTGGTGTTGGCAAGAGCTGAGATAAGAAAATCATAGAGTCATTAAGGCTGGAAAAGACCACTAAGATAATCTAATCCAACCATCAACCCATTACCACCATGCCCACTGAACTACGTCTCTGAAAAGTCTGTCAAAGCTTTACTTTCTTACTCAGATTTCTACCAGTCAACCAGTTAATTTGGCTCTAGGGTTGGGGTTAAGGAGTTGAGGAGCTGGCATGGGTGATATGTGGCAGCTCATACCTATGACATGGGTGGGTTGTATGAAGAAGCATCATCACGGGTTCTGTCTCTGATGTGAAACTTTGGCACATATAATCCAGGAGAGAAGGAAAGATCAAAACCTTCCTTCTTCAGAAGTGAGGAGCTGACCCATGGAGCAACTAAATAGGCTCAGCTGATGGGTCAGAGTTGGGAGGATCCTGAAGTGTTCCTGGGACCAGATCCAGGCCTTCTGTTGGTGCCAGGAGCACAGCATTGCCTATAACAATATTGTTTCCATTGACAGACAGAAAAGTGGCACAATGTGCAGCACTTTGAATTTCTGCAGCTGGAGATTAGGAAGTGCAGAATGAAAGCTGTAGCATAAATAAATAGGTTACGAGGAGATTAGAGAAACTAAGCTACAAACTTAAATTCAAATAACCTTCCTATTAGGAAGGATCTATTGATAGTTACAGTATGGTAATTGTGCAGGCTTCAAGTCCTCACCTGGACAGAAGCAGCCTCTAAGAGCCCATAACTACTGTAGAAAAATCCCCTTGAAAAACTTGAGAATTTTACCTACATAAATACTGCAAAAGTTGAGCTGCAAGTGCCTCTTCTGTAAACTACAAAAGGAGATCTCAGTCACAACAGCAAAACTTTAGTAGAGAATTCAGGCAGTACAAATGGCTGCAAGAATACAGGAGGAGACCACATTTCCTGCAGTTTTCACACTCCTTTTCACCCTACTTACCTTCTCCTCACAGGTGAGTGCAATCCCCAGTCACTAATCTTTGTTCTTTGCTGCTTTGTCTCTCAGGGCAGGTGTCACCTACCTTTATCTGCTGCATCCATTCTCTTGCCCAATGATTATCCTAGGAGGCAGATATTTCCCTTTGATGGCTGTTCTTCAGTGCCACCAGATAACCAAAGAGAGCAAACATATTTTCTCCTGGTGTCTAATCTGTGTGCTCAGAAAGTGAAAGATTTAATTCCCCTCAAACAGCCAACCTCAGCCTGATTTGCTTCTCTGCCTATTCTGGCAATAAAATACCACCCTGTGCTTTATTTCTCTCAGTTTTGGAAGATGTTCTCCTCACATAAAGGATTTTCTTTAAAGGCTATTTATGTTACGGATGTTCTTTATTTTTATTTTTTATTTTTTTTTAATAAAAGCTCTTTTAATCTTTTCCAATTGCTTTGGAGGGGCTGAGACTTGCAGGCTCATGGTGTACAGTTAATTTTCAAATTGATTTTCAGTGCCAAGCCTACTCTTTTGATCCAGATTATAAGGATTTAAATATACAGAATAATTCATCTACAGCAGCCACTTAAGCTCCTGCAAAGGGCAGTGATGTGCAGAGAAAGATTCATCTCAGCACACGTTGGGGAATTAGCACTTGGGAACAGAAGATGGAGGAAAAGAAAACACGTCCCTTGGATCACTCCTTACAAGCAAGGGAACTGACTCTGTGTTCACCTTAGAAACAGTTCTGACCCTGGAAAACAGATTCATGAGTAGGAACAAGGGACTAGATGGGAGGATCAGCAAAGCCCACGTAGATGCTGTGAATATGTGGGATTTTTTGGTTTCAGGTCAGCACGGATGGACGTAATGATCCCTTGAGGCTTTCTGTTTAGAAGCGCTGGTTCCAGTTTGCCCCTCCCCGGCTCCCAGCATTGCTGCTGACCATTCATGTACGGCGTGCACCTCTTATCTGCAGGGTGGGACAGCATGCCCTGAGCAGCCCACCCCCTGGGTCCCACTACAGTCTTGCAGCTCCTCTGGTCTGACAGACAAGCACTTACAGACCCCCATCCCCAACCCTTTTTACTGCAGGCAGCAATCTGGGGCAGGTCCTAAAGTAGCTGGGAAACAATTCTGGATCTTCCAGGATTTGTGCAAATTAAGCCATCAAGTGAAACACTGTATTGGTTTGCCCTTTGTTTTTGACACGCCATAAATCAAATGGGGCCTGAATGCACTCCTTTTGACTTTCGATATTACATACATGTGTAGCCTTGCTAAGTTCCAGGCGTCTGCCAAAACGTTAGCAGGAGGACTAAGCAGAGCAGATGTTGTGTCATCCCACACCAAAAGGTGACCTGGGAATGCTGGAAGTTCTGTAGGTACAAAAAGCTTTACCCTTTGAGCCATGTACTTTTATTCATATAAACAAATTATTGTAATGGCTCTGCAAGATATCACCATCACCTTATGAAGAGGGGGCTCAGAGAGGCAGTTTGGCAAAGGGCATAGAGCCCTGACCTGTGATCATTTCTACCCTCCCACCTAAGCTCACACATAGCATAAGTATACGATGCCATATTTCAGTGCAGGGATCATTAAAGCGCAAAACTGTATTTTAGGAGTGTTGTTTTCATTCTTTCCCTAAATAGAAGATTGTCTCCAGA